GGTTCAGGGGTTGGGGTTTAGGGGTTGGGGTTTAGGGTTTAGGGTTTAGGGTTTAGGGTTTAGGGTTTAGGGGTTTAGGGTTTAGGGGTTGGGGATGCACAAGGCCCAATGCTAATCTGGGCATTACCTTGCCTCAACATGTATTATGCCACCTAAACGTGCAGCTCGCTCCAACTACGTCTCAAGCCGCTGAAGTCTTGGCCTCAACATGCATAGTGTTGTTGGGATACCAAGCTTCCTCCAGTGTGGCGCGCCTGGAATCGACGAGAGGATTAATACCGGCAGCTGACAGGGCTTCCGGAGCCTTTTGGGCGCCCGTGTCTGGCCAGGCTTGCCCTAAGGGTCCATGTACTCATATAGTATATACATAGGCCCCAAAGTACCTATATAGGGACTACTTTAGGGCCAAAGTATCTATTATTTGGGTACATGGACCCTTAGATTTACATAGAGAGACAGGGTTTAAAGTTTAGGGAGAGGTTGAAGGGTTTGGAGTTCTATAGGTCCGTGCGGTAGTATGCCAAACATGTTTGTCTTTGCGGCCTATGAGGACGTCTGAGTATCAGGGAATGGATACCCTGCTTTTCGAGGGCTACTTGGCTGCGACTGAGTCTATGTGAGGTGTGAGGGTTGCATTGTGGGACGGGTCTGCAGGCATGTCTAAACCCTGAACCCTAAACCCTAAACCCTAACCAACTACACTTTGGGCTGAACCCGGGTATGGCGCCAGACCGCGAGCCCATCGGAGACCGAAGCATCCTGCAGCCGGCGCCTGTCTCGAACATGTGAGCCGCCTTGTGCGCGGTTCCTCCTTCGTCGTGAAAAGTGCAACCTTAGGGTTTAGGGATTTAGGCACTTTGGGTGTAGGGTTTAGGGTTTTAGGGTTTAGGGGTTTAGGGTTTAGGGATTTAGGGTTTGGGGATTTAGGGTTCAGGAGTTTAGGGATTGAGGGTTTAGGGATTGAGGGGTTTAGGAATTTAGGGTTTAGCGGTTTAGGGTTTATGGATTTAGGGTTTAGGGGTTTAGGGGTTAGGGGTTTAGGGGGCTACCCAGAAATTCCCCAGGCGATTCTGTAGCGGTATCGGCAGACCTCAACTCCACGAGAGAAGTCCAACACTTACGAAGCCGATGCCTCGAAGAAAAGTCTAGATTATACCGGAATCGATACGCACGAGTAGGTCTTCGTGAAGTGAAGGCAGACACGGATGCCCTCAACACCAAAACTAGTTCCTTTTGGGGGTTTATATTCAGGATCCTATCAGGTAATCCCAAAAAAGGAACTGCTATGGAGCCTATGGATACGTCTGTACTTTGATCGTTTGCTTTCAGTGCGAATCCTGGCTGCCTTGCAGACGACATCAGGCTTGTAAGGACCCTAAACCCTAAACCCCTA